GATTTAGGGGGTGGATGCGAGAAAGCTGGCTGTGAGGTAATGATCTTGTCATGACAAGAGACCTCGAGGGCACTTTATACAAAGTGGCAAAAGCTTTAAAGAATAAATGTCACCGGGCTAGAGGGGCAGCAGACACTTTCTGTAAAGGGCCAGAGAGGCAATGTTTTAGGCTTTGCAGGCTATACGGTCTCTGTTGTAATGACTCCGTTCTGCCATTGAGGCACAAAAGCAGTCACAGACAATAACGCTGACAAATGGGTGGCTGCATTCCAGTAAAACTTTGTTTACAAAAATAGGTGGCTGGCCGAATTTGGCCTTTGGGCCAGTTTGCCAATGCGTGGACAGGAAGAAAAAAATAATAAATTTAAAGTTTAGAAGCAAAAACAATAAATTTAAAGTTTAGAAGCAAAAAGCTAAAGATGTGACAAGTTCAAACTTTATACACCCACTCCTCACTTATCAAAACATACTTAGGTTCCAAAGACTAAGTCGTTATGAGAAAATCAGCGTTATGTGAAAATGGAGGATGACCACATCAAATCACAAAATGGAAGATGACTACATCATCACATAACTGCCAAACCACTAAGAATCATGGCCCAGCCAAGCTGACGCATAACTTTAACCCTCACAGCCAGCGTTACTCTCACCTCACACCTCAGTGTTTGTTACTGCCACACATCCGTCGTTAATGCGCACAATAGTCAGACAGTAGATTTTTTATTCTAGTTATAAATGTGAAATGTCAGATAACAAGATAGCTAGTAAGTGAGTAGGTGTATTCTAAATAAATAATAATATTAATTGGACATTAAAAGTATTAGCTATACAGTGGTTAATTTAAGACAGTATCTGTTTAAAGATGAATGATGAACTGCTGACTGGTTCTTATACTATTTTTCTTGTTGATGCAAATTCCTTCTAAAAAGAAAAAAAAAACTCTCTAAGCTGAGAACAAGGTTAGGTATGAAAAGACACGGATGGCAATCGACCATTTTCCAGGTTAAAAATCACAGGAAGTAACACTAGGAATGTCTACATTCCCATTTTAAAAATACATATATTTTTGCATTTGTAAAGGCCTTGCAGGGACACTGTTTTGAATTTATCACTCCCTCAAATGACTGGCAGTCTTGGGACACAGGAGATATTTAGTTGTTTGTGAAATAATCAATCATAGTTTTTTAAATGGAGCTTTTTGTGCAGGATAAAAGGGATATGCTATCAAAAAAGGATTATCGTCCTTTTTGCCGTCAGATTCCTCATGGCCAACCATATGCTGAACACAGACCTAAGGACAGTTTCCTCAGTGCTCCAAGGTGGGCTCAGGGGGTCGACACCAAAAAGACGTATCCTCAAGTCAAGGGGGCGCCCTGTATGGAATCCACTTCGGTCTTTCCCAGAATCTCCAAATAAACCCCAGTATCTGCCAACCATAACACAACCTTCCATGAATTTTCAATGATTATTGCCCCAAAACCACTGGGTTGAACCATGTAAGGTGGCTGATATTCAACCATTTTTGACCTACAGAAATGGCAGTGTCACACGGCTCATCTATTGAAGAGCTGGTTGCCACTTAGTGAGAGCAAGACAGCATGAGGAGCTTCATTTATGCATCTAGTTCATCCCGGATTAGGGTTCTACCACGGTGCAGTAATGTCTAAGTTTGTATAGAAAGACTAGGGCCAATTTTTAAATTTCAAGGACTGCGTTCACACTTCATTGGTATATGTGGGCACGCACATAGAAGAATGCTCAATCACCTTGTCCATTCCGTCGTCCGACATCATCTTTTTTAAACACTGACCCCCCACTGGGCACACACTTCTCTCCCCATTCATCCTTTAGTTTCAACTCTTCAATCTGGTCATCAGTCAGTCCTTGCATATTAGGAGGGAGAAACACGCCATGTTCTGCTAATTCTTCCATCTCTTAAAAACAAGAGAAAGTTAGATAATAGGTATCGCAAACAGCGTCCCACTTTATGCCCCACCAAAGGTAGGCTCCCCAGAGATCAGTAGTCTTGCCGTCTGGTTCATTACTTGGTTTAACAAACACTTAGAAACCACTGTGAGGGCACTGGTGGTTCAGTGGTAGAATCTTCCCTCCCACACAGGAGACTTGATTCGATTCCTGTCCAATGTACCTGAAGCACAGCCACCACCTCTCCATCAGTGGAGGCTTACATGTTGTTATGATGCTGAACAGGTTTCAGCAGAGCTTCCAAACCAAGACAGACTAGGAAAAAAGGCCTGGTGATCTACTTCTAAAAATAAGCTAATGATAACTCAAAAATGAAGCCACTCCAGAGGCTCATTTTTCAGCCAAAGATTAGACAGGCTTATAAAACAAACAGTAACACACGTGAGGAACATGCTTCTTAGTTCAATCAAATACACAAGACCAGATGGGCAACACCTGCCCCAAAAGCAAGACGAGAAGGAGAGAAGGAACAGGAAAACTGGAAAAATGGACACGGGGAACCTGGGGTGGAAAGAGGGAGAGTGCTGGCACATTGCAGGGATTGCAACCAATGTTACAAAACAATTTGTGTATACATTTTTGAATGAGAACTAATTTGTGCTGTAAACTTTCACCTAAAGCACAATACAATTAAATAAATAAAAATAAGCTAATGAAAACCCTATCGATCACAACGGTTTGATCTGCAACGCATCGTGGGGATGGGCAGGACTTGGCAGTGTTCTGTTTTGTGCATGTTGGCCAGGGCCCGGGGCTGGCTTGGCAGAAGCTAACAAGTAACCACTTGGTATGTGCCAGACCTATCCCTGACCCTTGACACAGAGTCACCGATTCCGCCTCACTCCAGAGAAGCAAGAGGTGAGAAACCCCTCCCCGGCTGGCATTCGGGAGGCGCGACGTACATGTCCACTGAGCTCTGAATTCACACAGGGCTTTCCA